TTTGCTGCATTAAACAGGCACTACTTCATTAAATGCAGCCTGGGACCCTGCTGTCACGTGATGATTTGCCTTTAAAGCCTTGGCCGCAATTTTGTTCGACCTCGGCCTCGGCCTAAGCTTGGGGCCGAGATGATTATGCCTTAGCATTTCCTTCTTTTATTTTTAAGAAGGCGAAGTACCCTGGCGAAACGCTGCGTTTCAGCCTCTGCGAACAAGTGCCAGGGCCGAGAGAAAGGGCTCATTCGGCTTGCTCATGGCCGTGATTTATCAGGCACAAACATTGCCCCCACATCCCTGGATTCTTCGGCCTTGGCACGGGTAGGGGCCGAATGGATTCCAAGGGATGGACCCTTTGCATTCCTTTCTGAAGTGATTGACAACTGGGGCATTAAATGCGCAGGCCAGACGGCGCATTCCGCGCATTTAATGCCTCAAGCACGTCGCGCATGCCATCATTGCCCAGGGCGTCGCGTCGCCTCGTCAAATGAAACGACGGTCACTGTCATAACTTCGCGTGCTCTGAGTGCGCTGTCAGGCCGTTTCATCTTTCGAGATCAAACCTCCGTTTTGAGCTCCAGTGCTAGTATAAAAACCCAAACTCCTTTGTATTTTCCTTCACACTCCCAGGCTTCCTGAACTCATCATTTTTTCTTTGAAGGTTCATACTGTATAGATCCACGGCCGAATGGTCTTTATGGAATTCTTTGAGGAAGGATAGACCGTTGGCCGAAAAAGGGGGATCCCTCCCGTGGTAGATGTCGACGACACCCTCGTCCGTTCCTTCTGCGACCGCGGCCTTTGGCTGGGTTGAAATGGCCGGCGAACCACGGGGACTTTCGTCGTGCCTAGGGCGCCACGCCCTCAAGGGCCTGGTGCCGGCTGCTCTTACGGCTGGGAGACAACCGGCTCGGATGACAACCCGTCAACCGTCACCACTTTCTTCTGGCGTTTGAAACCCTCGGCCTCGTTCGTCTGCATCCTGGCCTGCTGAACCTGCCTCTGCATTCTCCTTAGCTGGGTTTTCGTCAGTGGTTCGGTCCTGCCCCCAGGCCGTGCATGGTACCAACGGTCATCCTTTATGACTGGGGGTTTGAACGTTTTTACCGAGCTTGGGGCCGAGATGATTATGCCTTAGCATTTCCTTCTTTTATTTTTAAGAAGGCGAAGTACCCTGGTGAAACACTGCGTTTCAGCCTCTACGAACAAGTGCCAGGGCCGAGAGAAAGGGCTCCTTCGGCCTGCTCATGGCCGTGATTTATCAGGCACAAACAGAAGTGTATATATGCTTACTAAAGTAGATATTGTAGCTTTGACCTTGCGACTTTCATTAATTCTCTCCAGGTAGGTAGTTGTTTGAAAATATTAACTTGACTTGTTTTATATTTATCTCTCCTCTGTCCAGCTTGCCCATGGAGATCCAGGGGGAACATGCATCAATGACGGTAAATCAGGGGGAAGCCCGATCTGTTTATTTAGTCGTTTCTTTTGGGTTCAAAAACCCTACTACAATCTATGAAGTGAAATTCAGACATGGAAGCGGAGTCTCTCATGAGCCCACTGTTGGAAAAATGGCTCACATTAAGTATGCAAGTGAAGGAGGAAGCGACCGGTCGCTGGGTATTTGCGACCGGTCGTTTTGAAGCAGATTCGAAGTCTGGAGATGAAGCTGGAAGTCGCGAAAAGCGACCGGTCGCCTTCAGTCAGAGTGCAAAGCGACCGGTCGCCAGGGCTGCTGTGCTGTTTTCTTCCACGCGTTTTTCAAGAGGTCTTCACATGTGTTGGTTCCCTACCTAATCCCTCGGGCCTCTAAGGTGTGTTATGGGTTCTAGGAGGTCTAGCAAGGAGCTGGAAAAGCTGGAGCACCATTGAATGAGGATTGTTGACTTGTTTCAAAGAGTACCTACCTTATAGCTCTAGATAGGGTGGCTGAAGTTGCAGCTATCAATGCCTAGCCTTTGTTCTGCCCAAGTTGTGGTCCAAGTCTGGAAACCAAGGGGAGAACGTGGGAGGAAAAGATGGAGCCTTCTCCTAAGTCCAAAGGCTTGTGTATTAAAGGGAAGAGGAAGCAAGACATCAAGTGTGTGGTTAATCTCAAAGTTGTCAAGTAGCTGGGAGCTATTGTGTTCAAAGGGAGGTTATCTCACCAAGGGAGGAAGAGAGAGAGGGCAATCAGTTCAAGAGAGAGCTGAGTTGGGTCTTGAGAGTTTAGACACCTAAGAAGGGAAACACCAAGTCAAGAGAGAGTGTTCACAAGTGCATCAAAGTGTTGAGCAAGGGGTGAGAGAGAAAAGAGAGCTTGGGAGAGAATAGAGTTCTAAGGGGGTTTCTTTGTAAACCAAAGTTGTAACTTATTCTTTCATTAGTGAATTTCTCAAGGGGATCACCAAGAGGATGTAGGCAATTGCTGAACCTCTATAAATTCTTGTGTCACTTTGTACTTGGTTGGTTTCTCAAGTGTGTGTGTGTGATTCATCCATAATTTTGCTTGTCACAAAGTCCATCAACAACAAGATCATTAGGGGAGGGTGAGTTGAGTTTTGTGCTCAATACACAACACCCACAACAATTGGACTTGTTGCCAAGTTCAATGAGGATAATTGCTATTATGCTGCACGGATTTTCAATCGCTCCAAATTATATTGTCTTACACAACAAAGTGGGTATATTGTTGACATGAACTCTTTTTCAAGATGCTCATCCATTCCTTCTAACCTAGCCAATAAAGTTATAGCAATGGTTGTGTCCGCGTATGACAAGATTTACTATGTTGCAAGTCCATGCCACTTTCCATCATCATTTGTGGAGTCTTCCTTCGAGAGGTATGATCCTGATAAGAACATTTGGGAGCCGCTTCCATTTTGTAAGGAGTATTATGTATATACCCGGTTATGCCGTTTGTCATGGCGTTATTTTGTTTTCATTGGCTAGCTGGAACACAAATTTCGGTGTCGTTGCTTTTCATATAAGTAGAAACCAATGGAATCGAGTGGAAGTTGATACCGCTGTTAATTATGCCATTTTCATTGGGAGGGCCGTGGTTGTAGGCACGACTATCTATGCCTTATGTGGGAATTGTGTTAGAGCACTCTCCTTAAGCATGCAAAAAGGTGATGATGGTGGTATTGCATATTCCCTACGACAACTCTTTATATTAGAAGACTTGGAGATTGCGCGTCCGCCATTGCCATTTGAGGTGCATGGCGACGATTATTTCGTTCATTTGGGAAAGCGGGACTTTTGCCATGTCAAGACTGGCTATAATGCAGGTCTCATGGTTCAATATATTTGTATCACCACATTTCAAATTGTTGTTGGAGAAGCAGGAAGAGATATGATCAAGACCATACATTCAACTGTTCATTCTGTGGAAATGGAGAGCCCTCAATGGTTTTATCTTGTTTCCTGCTTTGCGCGGTAAGTTTTCTTCAAGTTTATTATGTTTTCATCAATACCATAATTTGTGCATTGGAATTCTACGACATTTTGAGTGTAACAAAGTTTCTCATTATTATGACTCAGTGATTGCGGGGATTATGAACCCACAGGAGACGAGAGTAATTGGATTTTGCAGAAAGAAGCCAAGCAGGAGAATGGAGAAACAGCTGACAGGCCGCATGAAATAGGCAGTTATGGGCGAGTAGGCACCTTTTATTAGGAATTGTGAAAGTATTTTTCAGGGGAAATGATTACTGCAACTTGATATTATTGTACTATAACTACACGAAAAATGGTGAGTAGTGACCAATTTCCTTGTGACCAAATGAATAATGGTGAAAAATATAGTGAATTTAATGACTAATAATACTACATAGTCACTAAAATGATTGGTGCCTATTTTTTAATTTTTAATGACTAACTTATTCCTGGGGAGTTATACATTTGTGTATCGATCTCTCCCCCGAATGAACAATATAGCCAAGAGAAATCGTGAACCAGAATAGAAGAGCTTGCCCTACCCATGAGTAAATTAGTCAAATAAAACAACTTAAATTACATATAATTAGTGACCAATACATATGTCAAAGTAGCCTTACTTCTCATATTTGATACATCAGTGACCAATTAACCTTTTCTTAACTTGATTTATTTTTTAAGAACGCGGAGGGTACCGCAAGAAGAAAAAAAAAGATGGAGCAAGACCTAATTGCTCATGGATGTTTCACAATGGGCTTTCTAAACTACCTCTTTAAATAATACAATGGGTCCCACGCTCTATTAGAGAGTTGGTATCCCAAGTTGGCCTCCCTAGCATTTTTCAATAAAAAATTCTAGTCTCTTTGATTTTGAGTCAACTTACTCGAAAACTTTTTGTGCTTTTATGGCTTATGTACATTTATTTCCAAAAAATAGGTTTTGAGGATATTTGAGTAAATTTGGGTGAGTATTTAGCTATATTTGAAAGTTATTACAAAATTGACATTTTATAAAAGCATGGGTTAAATTTTGGGTAAAATGTTTTTTTTTGGGCTATTAGTCTTTTGAGTCGTCAGAGTTTGGTTTGCTTGGCTTTTGTGTTCTACTTTTTGCCTATCATACATGTTAAGAAAAAGTAAATTTCAGTCCACTATAATTGTAGTTGGGTTACCCATATTGGTCAATATATATCCAGTTTGGTCAATATGAGAAATAAGAGGTCGACTTAAAACATTATATTGGTCAATATGTACATTAATTCCAAATTAAAAGGCTTCTATTTGCTAATTAAGAATAATTTTTAATAGAAGCAAACAATCTAGCAACTTACAGCTAGGAATTCAGGATCCCTCTTGATAAAACCTAGAATATGAAGTTGTTAAAGTAGATGAGCATTTATATGAGTTGAGAAGTAGCTCTCATTGAATTAACTAGTTTCCTTTAGCAAGTTATCAAAGATTCAATATTTAATAGGCACTGAAATACACATAATACCTCTGATTTTGTAAATGGGTCTTGGGAGTAAGTACAAGTATGAAAAATGGTTGCCTGACACACGGGAAAATAAGGGGGAAATACCACTCCCCTTGGGTTTCATTTTCCCTTCTCATGGAAATTAAAGGCAACATTAAATGCACATGGCTTATGACCATTTTTCTCCATTAACAATTTAGAATTACAATAAAGTATTAAATGCATTCTTTTTATTTTATTTTATTTAGTTCATATTTATAATGGGCATAATTGGAAAAGAAATAAAGTGGTATTTCCGGTTACTTTCCTAACATTACTAAACACGGGAAAGGAATCTTCCATTTCCCATCCCTGATAAAATGACATCAAATATTTTCCGTGAACCAAATAGGGACTAAGGCTTTTGTGGAAGCACAAATATCTACGGATCCTAGGTCAAATAATTAAGCCAATCAATTTGGGAATTATTTCATTCTTACCCTAATTGTGGATTTGATCCTAATCAAATCTCTAATTAAAACAATCTCTCCAAATTTGGGAAGAATAATTCCTTTCCATCTGTGGAATTATTTTTCCGAAACCCTAGCCTCTGAGGCTCCTATAAATACATGGCTACACCAAGGGTTGAGGTACGTCTAAACTTCTGTATGAAACTCTGCAGAAATTCTCTCACAAACCCTAGCTGCCATACTCTTTCTCTCTCTCACACAAGGCTCTGGCCACCACACACGGTTCCGATCACCCGGTTCTCGCCTTAGAGAAATCTCCATCCTATTGTTAGCTATTGTTTTCCTACAAACACTCGACCTAACTTAGACATCGGAGGGCCTTTGGCCAACACCCCTTGGGTGTGGTCTTTTACTCCGTATTGTTTTGCAAGGAGAAAGAGAAGCAAAGAGGAAGACGGAATCTTTAGACGAATATTCTTGTGGGATGAAAATCGCTCCCACAAATTGGTGCTTTCATTGAGAGCACAGAATAATACTAAAAGAGTGCTCCAAATCCATTTTCCACACTTTGTTTCAAACAACCATGGTTGATACAAGACGTACAAAGAGTAACACCACCACGACGGGCTCGTCTCATGGTTTTGTGGTGGAAACCTCTCTATAACCTCACAAAACCGTGGCTGCCAACACCTTGCAGCGGCCTCCTAGCACTTTGTAGCCACCTCCAGCTGCTGGAATTGCAGAACAACCGTTGCAAACAACTGCTGGAATTGCAGAACAACCACCACATGGTCCTGTGACCTCCCCAGCCTTCCACCCGTAAGCGCCGGCTGCCGGAGAAGCTCTACCACACCATCCTACCATCGGAACACAGCAGCCGCACCACTTAGCTACCGGGTTTGCTGCATAGCCCTAGGACTACTTCGACGCTGTCCCAGTCTTGGCGCAAATCCATTCTCTCCCTCCTCTTCAACCACACTTACGTATGCACCTATGTACGCGTCTAATGGAGCCCTAACCCATATGCCATTGGGCCCGATGCACACCTCTCTACTAGACCTACGCAGTAAGGTAGACCTTAACTCATGGGTTGATCAACTCACACAGAGGGTCGACGATCAAAACAACCTAATTGTCCAACTACTCAAGCAGATCAACTTGAATCAAGGTCCTAACCTTGGATCTCGTGATGAGGAGAGGAGGACACACAAGCATGCCCGCTACTAGTTTGAGAGGTCCCAGGCTAGTCAGACAGGGACAAACGGGCAGTGGAGAGAATGAGATCGTGTTGACGAGATGCAGACATTTGCAAGCCGTACTCTTAGCCAGTCGATGATCCATTCAAGGTTAGGTCCAAGAACCAATGTACACGAGAGGCTGGGCCCACAGTCCAATGTTCACGGTCGCTTGGGCCTACAAGGAAGTATCCAATGTAGGCTGGGCCCACAAGGAGCTCGAGTTCGTGAACAACCGCTTGACGAACGCAACGATCGACACTCACCAACCCGCTCGAGAACTAACACACGGTGACAAGCCATAGAGGAATCCTCACAAGCTCAATCTCCTAATTTTCCCAAGAGGCAAAACAACCAAAGGGATCGGTCCTTGAAAGCTGAGGGGGAAGTTAACTAGTGGCGCTTAAGGCATGGAAGACATCGACCCGAGCCACCAGCCCTGCGGGTAGAAGATGTCGAAAGGCTAGTAAATGACCGACTCCAAGGTCTCCAACTTAAAGGAAGCACAAAGGAGGCCTTGCGTAGGGAAATTGATCGAGGCTACTGCTCGCCCTTTATCGATGAACGAATCACAATGTCGTCCATCACTCCGTTCAAGGGGGATTCTGACCCCGAGAGCCATTTGAGGCACTTCAAAAGTTCCATGATCTTGTACAAGTGTTGTTAATATGTTAACTCGCAATTATACGGGTCAATTAGTAGTATAGTAAGATAAGTACGAGGTCGTACCCACGAGGAATGAGAAGTTAAAATTAGTTATGTACTTAGATTACCGAATTCAAGAAAGTAGGAGATTTAGTCTAAAATAGAATTTAAACAAGAGTCAGTTTGGAAACAAATGAAGCAAGATGAAATTGGTGTTTGGAGTGAGAGTGCTTGTGATTGTGAAAACAAATGAACAAAAGTAAATTGCAAATGAAAGCAAGTAAACAAGTGTAGCAAAGAGTGGTCTTAAGGGTTGGAAAACAGATTTGGAGACTAGGGCATTCAATTCACCATAACAATTCAATTTCAAGCAACAAGTTAACAATCACCTAATTTGATTCATTCAACTTTTGGAGTTCGTTCTTTCTCATGTATGATTATCGATATGGTGTTTGGTTTTAATCAAGTACTCAGAAAACACAACTTAGCTATGGTGTTTAGTCTAAGCTATGAATCTGAATCCATTAAGCTTAAGAAGAACACTAAGGAACCAAGTAAACATTTGAACATGATGTTTTGTCCTAAATGCATTACCCACTCATTCACTAATCAGTTCAAGAGTCATATGGTGTTTATGTAAATTTAAACTAGATAACCAACATGTAGGTGTTAATAATGGCCAATTATTTAAACATGCATAAAGATTCAACTAAGAACAAGTGAATGAGACTAGAAAATTAGAAGTAATCAACAAGAGTAACATTAACTTGAAAAAATGAAACTGTCTTGTTAGGTTACATCGAAGCCCTAGTTATGGATTTAGCTGCTCATAATGGGAAAGAAACTTAGACAGAAATGAGAAAACATAATGAATGCAATAAGAGTAGACAACCCCATTTTCTGAAGTTCTTGTGGTGTTCAAGTCTTTTCCAAGTGCTTCTCCACGTCTAGTGCTTCTCCAAGAGCTTCCCCACATCTAGAAGGATGTATGACAACTAAAGAGGTGATTTGGGATGAGTTTTGGGTGAGTGGTGATGGCAAAGAAAGAGGAAATTTGTAGGGAAATGGAAGGAAGTTTTGTTGGAGCTGTTTTGGTGATTTGAGGCAGTTTAGAGTGTTGGGTTGATTGCTGGAGTGTTTGGGGTTGTGGGAGTGTTTGAGGATGATTTCTGGATGTGTTTATGGAATGATGGGAGCGTGGAGGATGGCTGGAGTGAATTGTGTGGGATTGTGAATCCTAAGATTTGCACACCTTGAATGTGGAATGGAAGTGATATTTATAAGGAGAGAGAAGTGAGAAATTTGAATTGAATATGGCAATGACCTAACACACTAATGCATTAGAAAATCAGTTTCTTTCCTTGTATGGCTGCTACACTTCACCAACAAATCCCACCAGAAACCATGGCTTATGCATAGCTTATCATGACCAAGCAACAATTAGGTCACCCTTATGTCAGCATGATGTGTATTTTC